TGCATACAATACTATATGTATCTTAAGTTTAGCAGCGCACTCCCTTTTTAAGACATAACGCCAATTGCATATTACAGCAAGTAACTTTTGTAAGTGGATATTCATTTGCTAGCATATGACATTATTTTCTCGAGGTAATAATGTTCATCGCTTTATGACAAATAAAGGCTGAAATTTACTTAATCGGCGCAGATTATAAGTTATTAAATTTATGTAATAAAGGGGAGACTATTAACTTCGCAACTGGCATCAGTGTATCATAAAACAATGTATGTTAATGTAAATTGTAAAGATAATATTATTGACAGTTCAAATATTTTCCTATATTATCAAGTTCTTGAAAAACACGACAACGTAGATTCATTTCTTTAAATTTTCATGTTTGTAATAGCGTTGTAGTTTGCCTTTGAATTACAATTACTATGCTAAATTATAAAGAACAGTTCTAACATCACGTGCTCCCCTTTAACTATATATTTTTTCATTCATTTTAGTTGTAACCATGGCAACTTATGAAGATGAACCTTTCGATGATTCATATCACAAGATGAAAATAAATCCTGTATTTATAGGAAAAAAACTAGAATTTTTGGTTTGTTATATACTATTTCTCATTTTTTGACCTTTCAATTCATAAAACTTCTCCTTTAATTTTGTATATTGCCTGAACTAAGAATGAATGTTGCTATTTTTTTTTCGATGCACATACCGCATTAATAACTTTCCTATCTTGAGAAAATATCAGAAATGAGAGTTTAACGTCTCAATTCCGACTAAAGGACGCAAAGAAAAGAGGAATTGATAAAAGATTGAACTTGAATTTCTGTCAGAATGTTAGCCACTTTCATGGTATTTCTGCCATCGACGACAGCATTTATAATATGTATCTGCCTACAACGGCAGCATTTTTTCTTCGACCGGACAAGATTGAGCGTCTGTAAAACTTTCTAGAAAAGACTCACGGGGTAGATATTTGGCTTGCGTGACCCCAATGAATGAACGTCTATATTGATAACAGGAAATCCTGCCATTTACTTAAAACTTGAGATATTTTGAACAGAAAACAGATATTTTCACGGATTTTTCCGAGGCTGTCACTTTTAACCTGCTCTAAATAGTATTAAAACAGGAAAAAAACGAGTCCAAAATTACCTTACAATATCTCCATTCAATGGACAATAGTTTTATAGCAATGAAATGGGCCGTATTTGTGTAATATAATAAAACCATCCAAATTTATAACCTACCTGTATCGATCGGTAATTTTCAGATATCTACCACCACTGCCGCCGGTAATGCGGTGTGGTAACACGCCCGGCAAACTGTCGCTCCACTTCAAAATTGTGGTGTACGGTAAAACGAGCGAACGGCATTTCCGAGATAGAGCGGAAGGCCGATTTAAACGGATAAGTGTAAGTGTTGTTTATGTTTTTGCCTCGTAATTCATTTAAGTTGTATTTTTCCGAAAAACGGAAAATGTAGTTCCGTTTAAGATTGATTTTGGCGTCCAATGATCTAAAGTTGTTAAAAAAGAAAATTATATCAAGCCTGGGAGAACTTTTTCCCCTGACGAAGTGATCGACGATTCGTTAAATATCAAACTTCAAACCATGAAAAACGCTCTACACTTAGAATTTTTAAAAAGTGTTTTACAAAATATTAACCCGTACCAAGAGCTATCCTTTCGTGCAAAATAAACTACTCTTGGTGGATTTCTTAAATTTGTAAATCGATTTTTTTCGAAAGTAGTGGAGCCAAAGGGCAAGAGATGGAGCGAAAGGTCAGTTGTTGGGCGCAAGGCGACATTAAGTTGGTGTAAATAGCATAGTCTACGAATCTATAAAAAAATTTTCAAAAGTTAAAAATAGACGTACTTAAAGACATTTTTCTACAGTTTTATGAAAAAATAATCCTTTCATAGAATTTTCTAAATTTTTTTGTATGATGGAGTAAAATTTAATGAAAAATTTGAATATAAAAAGAAAAATATATGTTGACGTGCTGGATTTCTTGTAAAATGGCAGTTTTCCATGGTAACCGTATAATATAAAAACTGTCAAAAATAGCCTAACTGTGTTATAACGAATAGAAATGTATAAGATAGCTTAAATCACACAACGGGCATTGTTTTATGCCAAGATAACCTTATCTAATGATTCTGTATGAAACAAATGATAATCTGAACATATTTCTTTAAAAAATGAGTTTTCCATGTTCCTCAACCGAACAAAAAAATGAGAAAAATGAACATGAATTCTCAGAATAATTAGAGATATACATGTACAGTTTTATGAAAAAATAATCCTTTCATAGAATTTTCTAATTTTTTTGTATATTGTGTAAAATTTAATGACAAATTTAAAAAGAAAAAGAAAAATATATTTTGGGCGTGTTGGATTTTTTTGAAAAAATGGCAGTTTCCATGGTAACCGTATATCTCAAAATTGTCAAAACAGCCAAACTGTATTATAATAATGTATAAAATAGCTTATTTCACTCACAATAAACATAATTTTATACAAAGCTTGCGTTATCTTAGGGTTCTGTATAAAAACAAACGATAATTTAGACATATTTCTTTAAAAAATGAGTTTTCATGCTTTTTAACTAAACAAAAAATGAGAAAAATAAACATGAAAATTTTCTGTAAAAAAATAAAGCTATCAAGAAATTTCTTTTACAGAATTTTCTACATTATTGATATATCAAGTAACATTTGATTGTGGATTCAAAAATAGAAATAAAATATATATGTTGAAGTGTTACTTTTTTGTAAACGGACAGTTTCCATGGTTACCGCATATGCTAACTGTCAAATTACCACGCTTTCCTTATGAAATATCATTTATACTAAATGTATTGTCAAATATAAACATGTTGTAATAAGAATTTCTTTTTCTTTTGATGTTATATTAAGTAAATGATACTGAATATTTTTTTAAAAACATATCTAGGGCCATATTATTTTTTCACTCGACTAACATACCGAATAGTAAGCAAGTATTCAGAAATTTACAAAGAAAATTATGAAATTCTGAACATTTCTTGGATATTAATTTTGTTTTTTTTATTCAAACACTTTTAAAATATATCATTTTAAACTTCTTTGCCCAGTTGTCTGCCAGTAATCAAGTCGCGACGCACTTTTTGTCACTATACCACAAGTGGGTGGGTAACGCGCGCAGAATTATCATCATGCTGTCGTACTAATGCTTGGAGAAATCCTTTATGTGATGTTGTCTAAACGACATTCTTATTCTTTTGAACCAATCTCCTTTTGAACATTTAGAAATATCTATTCTGTATTATTTACTCATTATTTGCTTATAGCCGAAATTTAAACACTTATCCGAATACTATTCAACTTTACCTTTATTTGAAGAGTAATTATCCGTGATTATCTTGCTTGGATGCGCATAACGATACGCACAGAAAACTACCGAAAACGTCTTTAAATGTGAAGCCGGAGAAATATGAAAATGTATTAATTTATTTTTACTATAACTAGGTATTTCAATTATTAATAATTTTAGTCCGTACACCGACTGAGAACTGCCTTTCTTATTATGTTCCTTTTGTTCATAGATACTCTGAATAAAGGAACAAAATTTTACGATATTTCTTTTAACTTATATTTTTTCTTTAATTAATCAAGATTTGTACTGACAATATGCAGTGTTTGATTATAAAAAGTATACATTTCCATTCATACTTTGAGAGGAAAATGGTAAACTAAACAACAATGTTAAATAAGAAAAAAGTATCTTGAAACATAACTGAAACACTAATATAACCCCCTTCCCCGGGTCTCGTATCCTCTTCCCCTATGCTCCTTTATTTTGTGAGCTTGTTAAGCAGTCATTTATCTTCTTTCTTTGTTTTCCTTGTCAGCTTTTATGATTTCTTTAATGCTTCATTTTATAATTAGTGATTGACCTGTCCGTGCTTCGCATTGCGCCCTGTCCTGTTTTTGTTTGAGGGCCTCCTGGGCTCCTTGCCACCGATTCTTTGTTGCTGGGTCGCGTGGGGGTGGCGTTCATTGAACGCCGCCTTTCCTTGTTAATCTTGTTTATCATATTTCATATCCTTAGAACGACCGACACTTTGTCAACCATTTTCATAGAGATTCCCCACCTTACAAAAAGTATTTCTATTTCATGAAAACGTGGCTTATTTGTGTTTGATCTGAACATGTACGTTAGAGCTATTAATTACAGAAAGTCATAGTAAAATGAACTCGGTAGTAGTGATCCATTTTACGTCCCCCGTGTATTGCATGATTTTGTCTCTGTTCTGCACTTTAAATATCAAACTTTTCGAAAAACATTTAACATTTGGCGGGAACAATCGTTTTAACATGTACCTGCTCGGAAACCATTTGTTCGCGGTAGAACTGAAAATATTCGATTTTGTCGAATTTGCACGGACACACGTTTAAAAATGTACATAACCGTGTCAAAAATCATGACTGACCTCCAATAAGTGGCACCCTGTTTTACGCCATGTGATTCAATGATCGGGCCTCATCCAACTTTTGGAACATAAATAATGGGAATCTATACGGCAAGCTATAGGTGACAACCTTCGCGATTTACATTCATTTACGCTAGAGGTCGTTGAAAGGATATCACGCTTTATTAGTTGTCTTTAAAAGGCATATATATCTTGATCATGTCTATTTTTTTTTATGCGTTTATTTAAGGTCGCCGCCGGAAAGCCCATATGGGCGACCGTACACTCAAGTCGGGTCATCCTAGAGCGTCCCGCCGAGATTTTTCGTCGATTTTTTTCCAGCTTTATTGGTGATGACACTTTTTAAAGAAATCCGAAGGGTATGGGCTTTCAATGGTTGGGAAGTTTAATATTCTAAAAATCGTCGTTCGCTTCGTCAGGGAGAAAAGTTCTCCCGGGCTAAATATAATTTTGTTTTTGTAACAGCTTAGATCATTGAAAGACTAAAACAATCCTACACGGAACTACATTTTCCGTTTTTCGGAAAAGTACAATTTGGATGAATTACAAGACAAAAACATAAACAACACTTACAATTATGCGTTTAAATCGGACTTCCGCTCTATCTCGGAAATGCCGTTCGCTCGTTTTACCGTACACGACAATTTTGAAGTGGAGCGACAGTTTGCCGGGCGTGGGTAAGTATTCATCTATTTTAACATATCCAAACTGAGTAAATCAATGTTATGGATTCATAGTCAACATCCAAAGGAGCATGCGAACAGATTTCTGGCCCTGTGCCAGCTTTAATTCACGTGAATTTTGACTGAAAATAACCACACTATCCGAATGAGATGCGGTATTTTTAGTTTAAAGTCACAAAACCATTTAATTGTACGGTGTGTGAATGCCTAGTGCAAATCGTTTTTGTCGCGCACTAATTCCGTTCAGACAACACATGTGCAACCTGAATCAATAAATATAAAAAAGATCGCATGTTTCACATGCAATTGGAATAGATATTTACCGGATTTATAAGGATTACGCAATAAGGTACTGTCTTTACACAGTAGTAGTTAATATAATGTAATCTGTATGAGTAATTTTATAATGCATAAGTGCCGACGAGCATATCATTATTTTCAAGGCAGAAATTTTGTAAAATGTTTTGTCTTTGTTCTTTGAATTTTTCGCAACGTAATAAATAGTGTTTGCTATTACCAATAGCCTTTTCTGAACAAAGTACGCATCGCCTATTTTCTAGAGACGTCCCGTCCCAGCGTCCCGTTTCTTCTGGAAAATGCGTGTTATTTGTACGAAATTTAAACATTATTTCGCGTTCATATTTTGGTAAACGTATTAGATATTTTTCAATACTATGGGTTTTTTGTAAGCTGCATAAGTTCTACCCTTATTAGATGATTGGAGTTGTGTGTTCCATTCATGATAATACTGGTCAATAAGGATTTGTTTTATAGAATTTCCTAAGTTTGGGGTATTTAGGGCAGGTTGAAGTAACCACACATCTGCTCTTCCACTAGATTCAAGTATAGTTTTAATATGTTTATTAATATATCAATATTTGCACACGTGCGATTTTATAATTTTTTATATTAATATTTGCACACGTGCGTTTGAATAATATTATATAATTACAAATCATTTGTTATCTTAAGCCTAAATTATCTTCTGTGTCATAATAGATAGGAATAAGTACATGTAAATCTGACCTAATGAAATTGATATGAACTGTTATGGGTTTGTTTAAGTGATTAAGATAATGTTCAATGTATTTTATTTTATTTCATTTTTTATTTTAACATATTGTTAGGATAGGTAAAATCTTATTATGTGTTTTAAGTAAAATATGTATAAGCAATCAAATAAAAAAATAGAAGAAGAAAGGTTGCTTGATAATAAAAATAAGAAAATTTTAAACAATCTTTGACAAAATTTGACAAAATACGTCTCATCTCGTTCGCCTTTTACTTACGAAACATTCTATATGTATCAACATTTAATATAAAATAATCATGTTTGAAAACCTATACTTACCTTGAATATAAGCAGCTAAGCACACTAGTAACAGCACAACCCCTTTACCTGAAAAAATAAAATAAAAAAGAAACAATACATTAACATTCTGACAATGATCCGAACATTAAAGTCAATTATGGGAATAATAATGATTTAGGAATATTCGTAGCATCAACCTAGGAATATATGTAGCCTCAACCTAGGAATATTTGTAGCCTCAACCAAGACATATATGTAGCCTCAACCTAGGAATGTATGTAGACTCAATCTAGGAATATAAATCCTCAACCTAGGAATATATGAAGCCCAACTTAGGAATATATGTAGCCTAAACCTAGGAATATATGTAGCCTCAACCTAGGAATATATGTGTCATCAACCTAGGAATATTTGTAGCACCAACCTAGGAATATATGTAGCATCAACCTTGGAATATTTGTAGCATCAACATAGGAATATATGTAGCACCAACTTAGGAATATTTGTAGCATCAACCTAGGACTATACGTAGCACCAACCTAGGAATATTTGTAGCATCAACCTAGGAATATAGGTAGCACCAACCTAGAGATATTTGTAGCACCACTAACCTAGGAATATTTGTAGCATCAACCTAGGAATATATGTAGCACCAACCTAGGAATATACGAAGCCCCAACTTTAAAAAATATGTAGCATCAACCTAGGAATGTATTTCCACTATGACTTAACCACGAGACAATTTATAATCAAACTCTAAGCTATGCAGATAAATAAAATTCCAATGTTTGCATTTTTATTCTAATTTCTTTTTTGTTTCGGAAAAAAACAAACAAAGTCTTACTTTTGTTCATTATTTCCTTTAAAGTTTGTGACCTACACGGTCTTGCTGTTATTTATAACTGACACTTCCCTTTCATAAATATTGTCTTATCTCCATATTGTCCAAGTCTTATCATTTTCTACAAGAAAAGCAAAGGTTTGATGCTAATATAGTGTATGTATTTCATTATATAATAGCAGTTAAAGCTGTTTTGCAATTTATTTGTTTTACAAATAAAGAAAGCACTGTGGCTTCACGTTTATTTCTATAAATGACGATGCTTTATCAAAGCTATATCTTCCTGTTTAAAGACGGTTTAACGTTCATATAGTCCATTTTTTCACTACTAAGTCTCGTACTAGTTCTATTATCATAATGAATCATTGTCGGGAAAAGAATAATGGAAGATTTTCTCAATTATTGTAGCTTTAATTCAGAAGCTTACGCAAAATTGTGTACCTTGATGCCGCCAATTGTTTATCCGAGCTTACACAAATTGTGCACCTTGAAATATATATTATACCATCAATTGTAAATCTTAGCATGCGCTCGGTGAATTATGTACCTTGTTTCATATAATTGTAACCGAGTTTAGTCAAAATCTTGTATAATTGTTGCCACTGCTTGTAAATCTTAGCTTTCGCAAAATTCTGTACATTTATTCATGTAATTTTAACCATCAATTGTTAATCCGAGCAAACGCAAAATTCTGTATCTTAATAAACGAAACATTTTATTTTCAATATTTTTTTTGTACCAACTATTTTTTGTACCAAATAGTGCAAATAGAACAAATGCCCTATAGATAAAGACAACATATACATACATGTATAATGATAATGATAGCCTAATAGGAAGTGGAGAAGGAATACAATAAACTTGCATGTGATATGTAAATAAGTATAACACGTATGAGGTGATATTTAAGGATTTATCAGTTTGAACTACTTGATAGTGAAAGTTTGGCTCAACATGCTCGTCATATAAGGTTTAATGTTGACGGTCTTCCATTCTCTCAGTTCTACCCTTAACACAACACGAGCTTTGTAAACTATAGAAAATATATGGGATGTTATAATTAGAAAAAAATCTACCTCTTCTATCTTAAAATGATTTTTTGGTAACTTCAATTTTCATTAGTTCTGTTAAAACAAAATTGTCATCAAGTTTTAGTGATCACATTTTTATGTTTTGTAATTCTGCTTCGTATAAACGACAGACCTGAAAATGCATTTCTTTAAAAAATTCACTGATTTTATTTAATTTTCATAATTCTGCAAATGCAGTATATCAGCAAATTTTAGTGATTACATATCGTTAATCATTTTATCATTATTGTTTATGTAAATATTTAAATAAACAGTTGATTGTAGATTACTCTCCCTCTCTCTTTATATTTATCTTTATGAAGCCACATAATTAAACTTCAGTACGTTGTGCTATAAGTAAGTTATTGCAGTATATAATTATTAAGGATAACAGTGTATATAAGTAAGTTTTTGTACATTGATTCATTATTTTTAGTAGTAGTATTAGCAATAGCAGTACATGTATTTTCATCAACATACATGAAATGATATATTACATTATTTTCAAACTCTTTCGAGAATTGTTGGTAACACTCGTCATTGTAAATACGTCACAATGTTCATAGCTGCGTCTATAATTTTGATCAGAGGTATTATGTCACCTAAATACTTAGTATATAAATATACCAAATAGTATCAAACTTGACCTATAGCACTGATAGTTTGTATTCTTACCTAAGTTGTGCGGAAATTAGATTTATGAGCCAAATTGAGAGGCCACTTAGTTTAAAGCTACATTAAATAAATATGTTAAAATATCTTTGCCGTTGGCCTAAAAACCAAGCATTCTACAGTTTCATTAACCTTTTTAACAGTATCGTTGTAAATCTCATCAAATAGTGTTCATAAATTAGGATTTGAAATGGAAAACCCCACGGTAACACTAAAGTTCGTATACGAATTTTAACATGCAAATGAAGACTATAATCAGCTCGTGTATGCGCTACGTCACGGTGTTATAGCTGCTATCCGGAACACAGCAAATATAAGATTTTCTTGTGCAAACACACTTTTACCGTTTAAGCTTCATGGTGCACTAGGTCTGTGGTTCAGAAAAAATAATCATCTCATAAAAAAGATTAAATTTGTATGAAAATATCCGTTACAATGCGGAAATATACCGTTACATTTGGACTGCTACTTATAGTCATGTTTGTTGATTTAATACTGATGTAGATCTACGGATGATCTGAAGGCGGAGTTTCTCATGCAAACAGAAAGTGTACTTCCGAATTCACCACAATGAGGTTGCACATTTGTATGCTCATTAAACTCATTTTGGTTGTCTGGACATCAAAATAAGATCTGGAGTCGATATGAAACCCAGTTAATTAATGAAATGTCGCTATTTCTTTTTTTATGAAATTTATTTAATGTATTATATATAAACTTTAAGTGATAATTTCAAAGGTCATGCAAAACCAGCATGTAGTTACTGCTACTTTAAATTTCCTTCTTTGCATAAGCAAACAATTACACTACTTTAGAAACTTCTATAACTTCAAATACACACGGCATGAAAAAAAATCCAACAAACTATTGTTAAGCTTAGAGTGCGCGAGAAATCTATGGCGGTGAGATGAGGACACAAAACAACTAGATTGTGAAGTGATAATGGGCAATATTTATCATGCCATTAAAAACTGGTAGTTGGTAACAAATTGTTATTCCCATAACTAACCGAAAACTTTCGCCAATAATGTGGTGTAGAAGTAGTAGTAGTAGTAGCAGCAGCAGCAGCAGTAGTAACAGTTGTAGTAGTAGTAGTAGTATTAGAAGTAGTTTATTCTTTATTCCATTAGGCAATATGCCCATGATGGCATTAGAAGCTTGGTATAAATGGCGAACAATGACAAGCAAAAATGTACCTAAAACATCAATAATTGGAGAAGTTCATCACTGTAGCATTTGTAATTGGGTATTGTTTGGCGGACATGTGGGTGGCTGGCATTGTCGACTGTGAGTTTATTGCCTGCTGTTGTGATAGTTCATCAGCTTGTTGTTAGTGAGTATATAAGGTGTCAAACTTGTGATCACTGGTCAGCGTGTCAATATGTGTCGGATAGCATTGGTAGGAGGCTGTGATGTGAACATTACTGCAGATGACATACCATTATAAACGTTGTTCACTTAAGAAATAATATATCCCAAACTGTGATTTTATTGCTCAATAACATCACTGTTTGGAGTTCGGATGCGGGGAATTATATCACGAGGGCGTAGATGCGCATCCGAACGACAAACAGTGATGTTATCAAGCAATAAAATCACCGATTTGGATATATTATATCGATTCTAACACGACATCAACAAATAAATGCTGCCGTACATGATAATTAGATAAATTGCGCCTGATTTGTTTCCGTACTTATTGTCAGCTCGTCACATTTTTAGTGGTTACGTCACGTGTATAACGATTACGTCACATATCTAAATATAGAACGTCAAACAGTGATTTTGTAGCATAATAATACACACTTTCGGTTCTTCTATGTTCAATAGTGAAAATTGCGGGTCGTGTTAGAATCTATAATTACACCGACACTTAAAGTCCAAATAAATGTATATTTGTCAATCCCAGCACATGTACTGATCATATTTTTAAAAAAAAATAAGCCTTTTTGAAAAAAATCATATGTCAACGTCTATAACTATTCACTTTTGATCATGGATTTAATCCTTTTTGTACCTTGTATTTTGGCCATAGTCGGGAGCGTGCCATTTGTATCTCTTTTGGAAAATCGTAATCGACAGAAATGCCATGTTCTCCTTTCAGCATGTACGCTCTACTCATGATAAGTTCGACATTTTGAAAATCTCTAAAATCTACAATGATTGACCTGTGGCCATTTCTTTGCCTTCTTGCACAGACACTTGGGGTTTGGAGCTCAAAACGCCTTTTAAATCCAAATAAAATGCATATTTGTCAATCCCAGCACATGTACTGATCATATATATCCAAAAAACTTAATATAAGCCGTTTTGAAAAAAATTCATATTTCAACATCTATAGTGTATTATTATAGATGTTGAAATATGAAATTTTTTCAAAACGGCTTAGATCTATATTAAGTTTTTTGGATATATATGATCAGTACATGTGCTGGGATTGACAAATATGCATTTTATTTGGATTTTAAAGGCGTTTTGAGCTCCAAACCCCAAGTATCTGTGCCTTCTTGCTACAAGTCTATGTGCTCGATTAATGCATATCTCATCTGGTTATATATCAAGTCTATTCTGAAAAAAGTCTATCAAAATATTGCTACAGTTTTCTTCTGCATTTTCTGAAAAACCTCGAAAACATGAGATTGTTTCGTCGAGATCTTGCCTCCAGGTCAATAGATTTGAAAGCTAGTGTCTTAATAAGATAATGTCGACTGTTTGTTACCTCAATAACTTGACCTACTTTGTCTTGCATATAGCAAAGAGATTTTTGAATAGTAGACATTCCATTGTTGAAATTACTTTGCTCATCAAATAATAGTAGCATTTTTGTATCCATAGAGGATTCGGAAAAAAGTTTATCGCGTAATATGTAATACATTACCGAAATGATCTATATAGATTAAATAACTGAAAATAGTAAAAATGACATAAACGATTTTATCTGACTATATTATATATACATACACCCATCCTTAACACCATTTTGAAGAGAATGTATGGGGTTGTTTAAAAGTTCACTTTAACAGAATCATTACCGTGAAAGTTTACACTGTAATTTTGTTTATTGATATGAAAGCTATGACACACACATAAACACACACATGGATGTAAGTATTACCATTTAATTATGTAATTTATAAATGAATTGTATTTTCGCCCATATGGTTCAGTCCGATGGTGAGAGTAAAGAAACCACCCATACACGCGCACGCCACACACACACGCACGCACGCACACTTTTCATTCCATTCAACTAAATCAGTGTAATTAGGAACATTTCATTTGATATTGCATACATCAAATATTTTTATTTCTTTAATTTCAGGATAACTCTGGGATAACTAGTATGGCAAACATTGTACGTTCGTGGAAACGAAATCTATTTAATATAAAGTGTCGGCTTAACTTAGAGACTATTATAAAATACTTACTAATTCTTCTTTGCATCTTAGGTCTTACAAGATGGATACTTATGCCTGTTATTTACGAACTTGTTATAAACTTTGTTTATATGTTCGTAATTCAAAGGTGTGTTAACGGTGATTTACTGTGGAAACATACAACTTTCAAATATACAAATGATATCAAGGAGGCTGTTGTACACTGTATCCCTGCAGTGCCAGAAAAGGAATCACCTATCGGTTGGATAGCACCATTTTTGGAACCTTCCCTTTCCGAACCGTATCTTAGACTTCCAGCAAATCTGACGTCAAACGACCGAGTTGTGATCTTAACTCCTTTACGTGACGCATCTAAACAATTAAAACACTTCAGTGATCAGCTAACAAAACTTACATACCCACATCATCTTGTAAGCGTATATTTTGGAGAAGATGGGAGTTCTGATGACACATTTGATATTGCTAACCAAATTGCCAATCAGTTAATTCGGCGTCACGGGTTTCGAGACGCAAAAGTATTCAAATTGCCAATAAAGGGAAACAAGAGTGATCGACAAACGCGTCACTTCCCATCTAAACAAATTGAGCGCCGAAGTCATCTCGCTAAAGCTAGGAATTTATTAACAAAACTTGCTCTTAAGGATGAAGAATGGATTCTGTGGATTGACAGTGATGTCGGATACTTTAGAGATGACGTTATCCAACAATTCTTATTCTCAGATAAAGATATTATGGTTGCATCAGCACTTGTCTCTAAGATAGATCTTGGATACTTTAGAACGTACGGAGTATTTGATAGAAACACACGAAGGTTAAAGACAGCGAGCAATGGAATAAAACAATACAGTACATATGTTAATGATCTTAAAGCTGAAGGAAGAGAAGCTAAGATAGATCTTGTTGGTGCCTGCATGCTTATGATAAGGGCTGACTGTTTGAGGAAAGGTTTGAACTTTCCTGAGGAGCCATATATGCCTGATGGAATAATGGTTCAATTTGAAGGACTTGAAAGTGAAGGTCTGGGTCAACTTGCTCGTGATATGGGATTTGAGGTTTACGGTCTTCCATTCCTTGAGATCTACCATTTATATGATCCAGATATTAAAGAGAATTGGATTTTAAATTTTTTGTATTTTTTATATAAATTATTTTTATGATATTTTTGAAATATCTTTGTTTTGTCATCTTTTGTTGTCTATGCACATTAATGTGTATTGAAATACTATCAGGCCATTCACGTTTTAACTCAATCTTTGAGGCGGTCATTATAATGTTAAGAGGCTTTTTCCACGTCCATTTGATATTCCTATACAAACTGAAATGTTTCCGTTTTTCTTTCTTCAAAGTACACAAATCATTTTCATTTTTTCGGTTTGTTACTGTTTTATTTATATTATTTAGTGTATTCAATATTTCTGGGAAGAACCGTTTGTTGATTTGATCTCCTGGTTCCAGAATTCTACAACCTTTGTGTTAATATTATGATAATATACTGATATACTGATACAAGAGAGAAAAAGTACGTGTTTAATCACTTTACTGTTAGGAGGTCAACGAATGGAACGTTGAATATTGACCCTGACTGTAAAACACCCAGAATAACCATAACTTTGAAATAAATATTCATCATTCATTTTCGACAAAAATAATTATCATTTTTTAGGGATTTGTGTTTGTGCGTGCGTGCGTGCGTGTTTGTGTGTGCGTGCGTGCGTGTGTGTGTTGAAATAAATACTTATAGAGTTGCAAACAGTGTAGAATAAAAGACAGCAAGGGATCAATCAGAACTCCTCGACTATTTTTCACAATAATCTCGGACTTTATTATAAGGTTTGTAATACGGATTAAAAGTTCTTCTGCCGCAGAAGTTCTAATCTTTGATCATGTATAACGTATTTATATATTTGACATCAAAAGTAAAAAAATATATTTTGGTAAAATATGATTGTAAATATATCTGACAACCATTATTAATTTAAAAACGCCCACTGATGTAAAATAATAACCAACTCTGAATTAATATCAACATGTATGCATTTTATACTTTAGGTTTCTATAACGATAATATAAATATATAATTAGTATGCCGTTTTACTATTATATATATAAATTTATTTAATTTAGGTGGACTTATACTCGAAATTTGGGAATAAACTTAGTCAACAACTCCAAGCATTAAAATACTATTTACACGTTTACTTTTTCAACGTAGGTTAGACAGAACTACCGTATCCGTTCTGTGTATTTTTGGCTTGCAGCCACGGCTGCAAGCCATTTCATATGGAAAACTTGTTCCGGTTAGGTGGTTTCCTGCTTACATCTGTTGGTGCATGATTGAACGGGAAACCAGCTCCAATCGTGCCAATCGCAACTTTTCGGCCTTTTCCGTCACTCTTCTGATTAATGATAATAGCCGATGTAGTTCCGATTGCAATCGTGACAATCCGGGCGATTCCGTCATACTGCGGAATCAGACGAAGTAATATTACGGAAATCTAAGCTATTTTAGTTACTTCGGTAATCCCAGTTTGTTTATATAAATAGGATTTCTATTTTTACTTGATTTATCGGTTTAAACCGTAATGGTGAGGTAATCAAAAAATAGCCCATGCATATCATTAACCTTTCCACTCCTCGCAGCGGTTACTTCCCCTGATCTGTACAGTTAAAGTAGCAAAGCGTGACGTAACAGCTGGAGGAGTTTGGTGCTGATATCGTCTATTTGTGATCGTGTAACATAGTTGATACATGCTTATTAATTGGTACCACGTAACGAAGTATTTTAGTGCATTTACTTGTCTATAAAGCAAAGGAATGATTTCGCTGCGAAAAAGGGGAAATGAAATGTGCACACTTGTTTTCCTTCAGTATCACGTTAGCATTTTTACGATTGATCATTTTCTTTATTAGTTTTATACAATAGAGAATAGATTTCAAATCGTTTTGACAAAAAATATTCGGTTTTCCAAAAAAAAATCCAACTAAATAAACCCTTTAATTATGATATACAAATACCGTAATTCAAAAAAAAAGTGATAATAAATTGAGACCAAAAAACACACAATTTTAAAGGGTTTGGATGAAGACACAACTGTGCAAGCCTTTCCTTTTAAAAGGAAACTTTATTACTGTTGTGCTCGAGGTCCTTATCCGAAGACTGACGGAAATGGCCAAACAGCTGCGATTGGTCACATTGGTAGATTCAGTTAATGGTTAAATGATTAGATAAAGAAGTTAAAACCAAGCCGCCATTTTAGACGCCTCTTAACAAATTGATCGATTACAGTGAGGTAACATTTCAATCTCTTTTGGGTCGCGAGTTTAGGTGACAGGATTATTATGAATATTTCTATCACATAATAAAGTATTTGTCCCCGTAAAGTTAACGAAAATATTGTCTATTCCATAACGTAGGAATGTGGAAAAAAACACAAGAATTGCACAAAAGCAACGACAAATGTGATTGCTTTTGAAGATGATTCGTGAGAAATTTTCCTGAAATTTCAAATACAATGTCCTCGCAGGTTCACGCGCTTAACAACATACTTGTTTGACGTATTAAAGAAAAAAAGGCTCTCCTCAACACTCCATCGAGCTGGTTGACTAGGAAGAGATGTGAATTGTTTTCACTTTTTGGACGTGCTTTTGTTGGAAGAAAGACGCTTTCAAAGCAACCTTGGCGTCTTTGATCTTCATTATCGGCATCTTTTTGTTGTTTGAACTTGACACCTGCATATCTTAGATAAAAGAATTATATAGACTAGGTATACCACTTAAAGAAAAATAAAAACACAATGGCTGTTATGATGCATCGTTTTTTTTTTTGGCTATTTTTGTTTGCTAAAAAGATATAAAAACATGATAAAGATTCCAAGTGTTGCAAGGTAAAGACTTCACCCTTTAAAATAACGTTTTTAGGTGTTTGCCGGTTTCTAGCCGCCTATGACATTTTCTGGGAAGACGGGGCCATCAACACAAGTGTATGTATATGGGTCGTAGTAGTCCGGAAAGCAGTCTCGCAGGTATTGTCTTCCCCACAAGTCACACTGGATGTAGTTGTGGTTGTTGAACTTGTACCGGAAATACAAAAGTCCAGCGTCTATGTTGGCCTTTGTACATGGAGCACTATAATATTGATTTGAAAACGCATGTGTTCCCAGTGGATCTGATGTGGTCACGTGCGAACCAGGGCTGGCAGTTGGAGGAGGGATGGGTGTAGCATTACCATTGCATGTGTTCACCAGATTGCTTGTTCCCGGATAAGATCCCGGAGGGACGCATACTTGTGATGTAGCATAAAAGACGTAGTCGAGCTGGCACGACTGGTCGAATGACTGATGGTTTGTATCGCAATGGATATACATATGAGGATCACACTTGTGCGGGTAGAAGTATGGTTGATTGGGCTGGTGATGTCGGCAAGGATTGTGAGATGTCCGGATACATGTAAGCGGCATCTGATCCCATTCCATTCCAGACGGACATTGACGTTCCCATGGTTTCCCCCAAACGTCACAGTGGATGTACTTATGGACGTCAGTTGGATACGGGAAAAACAATTTGCCTGAAATATCGTACATCGATTTTAGTGCGGTCAATTATATACCACTTAATTGCATCTTTAATTATCTATTTGATCTAGATTGGTAGTAAATCTATTTGTATTAATATCCTTACATTTAAAATGGTGTTGTCGTTTACCTCTCTTATTTACATAAATATTTATTCCTTCAATCGTTAGCCTGCGATCATAAGTAACATTTTCAAACAGCTTGGAATCAGATTTTGACACAAAATATTTCAGCGTCTTCTCAGGTACCGAGCCGTTTTAAAGTCACCGTTAATTTTTTATTTCGAGAAAATTATAGTCTTTTAAATTCATCAGACGGCATTTTTAACAGACGCCAATTATCACAACATGCACCGGATTAACAACCAACCTGCTAAGATATTTGCTCGCGTGCAAGGATTACTTCCTGTATACGGATTGAGACAGCCGGAAGCTACTGTAGCGTTTTCTCCAACACACTGATTACAATCAGCCTGGAATACCTGAAACAATAAATCAACATACGTTACCAGCGTCGTACAGCCAGCCCATCATGGATAATAAATATCTAAAAGTCGCCATATGACATTGACTGTGTCAGTGGGACTAACAACATTTCAGTCCGAGAAAGACATAACCCAAAGCAACAAAACAAGCTTTACTGCGACTTTAAAAGTAGTACGGGACATCATCTATCCAAAGGTTTATTTCAGAAATGCTTATAATTTTGAAGCAATTTCTTGCTGTCTGACTGCGCATCGATAAAGGACACCTCGGATAAAACAAATAGCAACTTTTTTGCAAGCCATTTGAAAACATAAGGTTTTGGTTACATAACTATCGTTCTATTTATTTAGAAACATAGCTTACCTCTCCTTTTGGACAGATGACAATATACAATTTGCCGGACAGATCACACATGAGAAACTTGTTGCTGAAATACGGATGTGGGAATCTATCTTTACCAGCAAGAACATTTTCTTGTGTACAAGGATTGGCAAAGTTCCATTTCTCTAAAAGACAAAACAGTTAATGATAAAGCGTATGAAAAATGTTATTTACATAATTAACAAAAGTATTTGGGTAAGTTAAAAACTCAATAGCATGAACATTATTATTCAGAGTATTAACAGGAAAATGTTTATGACATAGCAAATTTAAAATGTCACTTCACATAAAAATATGTGTTTATGATAAAAATAATCATAAATATGTTTGATCTATATCAATATAGATATAAAAGGCAATACAAAAACTCTGAAATTTGAAACTGATGATATACTTGATTTAATCAGTGAAGTGAAATCCACTTTTTGTAAGTTTTTTTTTCTAAATTCAATATAAAGCAGTGATGTAACTATGTAAGAACATATTTATTTAAAACATATTTAAAAACTGGTAAACAAGTTACCCGTGCAGTTGAAATAAGATGGATCACAATGTACTTCAGTCTTCCCTCGGTAACATTTCACATGTATCTCTATAAACGAAAAAGTCTAATAACTATTGCCATTTCTATGTTAAAATTGTTACTATGAAGGTTGTTGATATAATTCAATATTAGTTTTCAGTATTCATATTCAGTAAACCTTTGGTTAAAGTATGTTTCTCTGTAGAATCAAATTATAGCAAAACAGTTTACATATACGAGTATGTATTGATAATCATATTGTTTAAAGATCGGGCGAGAGCGGTTTCAAATTGATACTATAAAATATAAATCAATAATTGAGTTAACTTAATAACACTTTCCGTTAAGTGTCGTGATTACTCAAAAATACCGATAAAGAGCGGAAAGTATCCGGCACTCGGACCCTTAAACGGACAATGGAGCGAAAAGATGACCACTTTCTTCCTCGGGTCATCATCACAAACAGAAAAATGGTTTTGGTATATGATCCGCAGATATTGAACACTAAAAAGCAATGACGCTGGTAAAATTTTTCATTTATATTGCGACGTCACGAACGTCATTTTGTTTCATCATCAACGTGCGCCGGATTGTGTACCCCTTGTGAATTGTAACTGTCACAGAATTGTTATTTGTAAACATATTGTATTGATTTTTTTGACTGTTTATTAAGGACATATTCCAGATCTGTCTCTTGTAAAATCATATGCACAAATTAAAAGATGTGAACAGTAGAACCGTAGTCCACGAACTTTTTGAACAGCCCTCATATGTCGTGTAATTCTCAGAGAAAATTTATTACATTGTATATCATATGTTACAGCGTCCTTTTTTCAGACCATAAATGTAGACAAACAACACATTTGAACTATTTCAACAACGTTTGGTTCTTTATAGAAAGCAAAAGTTTTCTAATATGACTTAGCACGGTTTTACGTTTTTATCACAATCTTATTTAATATTTAAACAACATAAAGAAGGTATTACCATTATCAGTCTTGTCCCCAATGTAGGGAGTAATTGTTGCTATACAACCTGTGCTCCCATTTAATACACCACTACCTCCATACTGGTTATCCTTCATGTTGATAAACAATGTCTTTCCTGTCAAAATTTACATTTGTATTTCAAAATTACACCTTTTTAATTATAATTCCAGATAAAAATGACATCATTTGATGGTGTTCATTATAAAAGTGACATAATATAAATACGGTGGTTTTATGTACAGGGGTAGGACACTGTGATCTGATACTACCCCCTTCCCTGCACCCTCCAGTCCCTGCTGCAACCCCAAAATTATAAATAAAAGACAATTTCTACATTCAATTTCCATTACAAGAATAATATGACACTATTTTCAATATCCCTCTATAATATTAGTTATACAAGGGTGGCGTCTTCTACGCCCTTTAAGTCCTTTGATTGTATCAAAGTTACACTTTATGTCGTAACTTGGGCAAAACTCTCTCTCTATATACTCGTATTTAAACATGGTTTCAATTAGTGCCGTATAGTTATGTATGCAATGACACCTTCTATATTAAGCAGTGTTTGGTATTTTGTTACATAACTGCCCGTAACTTGTCAGACACGGTCCACGTGAACATTAAGTACGACTGAATTGCTAAAACAAGGCAAAGTTACATATATATATACGTAAACGGATATTTTCTTTTCCTCTCATGGCTCCGTAACAAAAACCTTATTCGGAATACTCTACTTTTTCGTTCAAAAGATCATAGCTCTACGATAAAAGTTATGTGAAGTGGCAAAGACAATGTCAGTTTTGTATTTCCTCGTGTAGAGAATTTATATGGTATATAAGATAAAAGTGACATCATGTAAAGAAAGATGTTTTATAGTGTCCACAGGATAAAAATGCAAATGGATAAAGCAGTAAAATCACCAAAGACTCTACAAATAATGAGTGTCTGATAATTAGAATTATGCTTTTGCTTTGAAAAAAAAAACAACAACATGATACTTTACCTTGAATATTAAAGAAGTACTGTGTGGGATGTCCTGCCAGGGACAGTTGGTTATATTCATACTGAGCAGAAGAAGGGTATGGATTGTTTACGGATGAAAAAATGTTCATACCGCCGCAAGTTATATTAGTCTAAAATTAGAAAAAAAGAAGAACTAGTGCCAATCCAATAACATAGCAATTGAATATAAAATAGTTTGACTATTTTAATAAGGACTAAATGTGAACAAGAATTGAAAATGCAGTTCAAACCTCAAAAGGTATAAATAAGAATGATCGAGGTGAATACGAAGTGACGAAAGACCGAAAATTAGAAAATATAAATAAATAATTAAAAGTGAATGATGAATAAGAATTGAAAAAGTCAATAATGTTGAATAAGTGGATAAGGCCTGGAAAGAAACGAATAAGTGAATAAGAATTTAAAGTGATTGAGAATTGAAAAGGTAAAACAAAACTGAAAAAAGCGAACAAGGACTATAAATCTGAATAATAATTAAAAAAAGGTGAATAAGAAATAAAAAGATGAAAAAACATGTAAAGGTTAAGTATAATTTTTTTAAAGTAAATAGGAATTGAAAAGGTGAATACAAGAAAAAATGTTGATAAGAACTAAAATTGGTAAAACAGAAAGAAAAAAGATGAATACGAATCTGAAAAAGAGGTTAAGACCTGAAAATGGTGCATACAAATTGACATGGTGAACAAGAGTTGAAAAAGGTTGAAAGGACCTGAAAAAGTAAAGAAGGATTGAAAAGGCTAATAAGAACTGGAAAAAAATGACAAAGAAATAACAGGACAAATAAGAATTAAAAATGTGAGTGTTAGAACTGAAAAATGGGGAATAAGAACTGAAAAGGAGAATATAACAGATGAAGGTAGAATTTTACCTCTATTGTTGTACCATTTGTTCCGGTGATGACTGCTAGAGGAGGACATTTAGTGATCTCACAACTGTATGTCGTGTTAATGTACAAGGGTGCTGTAAAAATATTGCATTGATTTAGATACTTCAAGGGAAAGAGTCACATACACTGTACTGTTATGTATTATAAGATAAGTATTCTGTCTGTAAATCATACCTAAATTTTTTATTCATGGATCATTAAAAGCATACACAATGATTATTACTCTTGATATTTGTAAATTATAGCATATGTAAACATTAATGCCTAATATTTCATACGTAATTATATTTTTGAATAAAGTGTACCTATACAAGTAGCTTTTTGTATTTCTTCCTTCATGAATTTTATTTCTGCAAATGAATTAACCTGTAAAAGATCAATATGGACATGTGTTTTACTGGAATGAAAGAAGAGATCACTATGGACGTATATTATACAACTTCGTTCTGGGCGTGTATTTTAACAAATTGAAATAAGTGATCATTATAATTCAAGTATGTTACATCAATAGCCAGAATTGATATATGACACCAGTTAATGACATCATATACTATACTTTATGAGATGTCTTTATATTTAACAGTCTATTCAAATGGATCGAGAACACAAATATATTGCAATTGTAGTGTTCGAATTGTTTTAAAAGTTTAAATGAAAAAAAAAAAACATTTATTGATACCGTGTACGCATGCGTGCATTTTGGGTCACTTGCTATCGTGTTGAGCTCCGTTGAACCAATGCTATGCCCAACTCCCACAGAGAATGTGACAATAGCGTTTGCATGGACTCTGTCAGCAGCATGTTTTGTATTTAAATCATCGTCACTGTTTCCGTCGGTGATAACAACCATAACCTGTTCATAAAAAGCAAATAATTCAGAAACAAAAAGTGCAATTGGTGACCCTTAGATAAGTAATAGAAAGAGCACCGAAACACGAGGCTATCTGATTTGTACGAGGGGGCGTAGCCCACGAGTATAAATCAGATTGCCGAGTGTTTTGGTGTTCTTTCTCTTTTGTATCATAGTCAAACATAAAAACACGTTCCCTGTTGTCACAATTTTAAACCCCGGGAAAAAGTAACCAATGGTCGAGCATCTGAATATGATATTTCTGCCGCTTTCCCTTTCTCTGCCGTCACAATATGTAAACCCCAGCAAAAATGAGCCAATCAACGGGCATGATCTGGAGTGCGGGTAACTGATACCTGCACTCCAGTTACCGCACTGTGCATGTATATGTATACGATTTAACTCTGACACTTTTTCAACAGAAAGGTCCCCAAAGAATATATGATACAAATTGTTTATTCAACATCTATGTAAGCTACTAGCTGTTAGCTGTTAATATTACATATTTACTTACCTTTACAGCATTAGGTCTGGCACCATGAAATGAACCGAACACCTGGTTTAAAGCTGTGTCTAAACCTCGATCAGTGGCTGTTCCACCAGTGTTACGACTTACACTGTCTATTGCATGCTTGACATCTGTTTTAGTCCTAAGCGGCAAACAAGTATAAATAAAAAATTACATAAAAATATTATTGATATGCAGCTGTGCATTCATGTAAATATTCAGTTGTATAAGTGGAACGTGTTAGAAAATGTCAATTATAACAATTTAAAAAGTGTTAAAATGAGAGATAACTTGGACAAATTAATGCTGTAGTTTTATTTGTAACTTTCCGTGAGTACAAAAAGAAGTTATGGACAGACAGTTTTATCAACTATACACTATAAAACAACATACATGTACACACCTATGATCATTAAGGTCAAACTCAACATGAGCGTTGGTGGAATAAGTGACAAGCCCAACTTGAGTCTCAGCTGGTGATATCATGAAACCATCCACGACCTGTACATTAATATGTTCATGTTAAATGAGAAACAGATGAAATATTTACGTGTTTGTTAAAATACATCGTAAGTAAACTTGAAACATGCGATTGTTTCTATATTATATATACATATTAGGATGTAGTTTTGTTGTATATGTAATGATTTTGATGTTCTCTTTTCTTTTGTATCATAGTAAAGAATAAACGCGTTTCCTGTTGTCACAATATGACACCCCAGAAAAAAGTAACCAATGAACGAGCATCTGAATAATTATGATATTTATATCGCTTTCCCTTTCTCTGCCGTCACAATAAGTAAACCCCAGAAAAAATAGGCATTCTATGTGCATGCTCTGGAGTGCAGGTAACTAATATCTGCATTCAAGTTAACGCACTGTACATGTATATGTATACATATGACTTAACTCTGACACATTTTCAACAGAAAAGTCCCCAAACTATGATACAATACATTCAAATAAACGTAGAACGGGCACTTGTCACATCCCTCACCACATGCATGTCAGAAAAAAATGTGACTTTTGTGAACTGATTAACAGAATCTAATACATTCACATGTACCATTGGGTGATATAATGTCACATGCACTAGTCAATTGTAATCATTGCCTCACACCAAAGCAAAGGCGAGAACTTTGACATTTTGATTTTCCAAATTAATGCCTGGTACATGCCCCGCTTTGCGGAGATAGTCGAATAGACAATACTTTGCTACAAGTCTGGCATATATTCCAGCCATTTTGGCTCCAAAATTAGTCACTTAGAACTTTATCAACATTTTTATTTCCAAGCAATTTTTATAAGAATATCCAAATGATACACATTTATATTGTTTTTGTTTGTCAATATTTGAAATCCTTACGGAAATTGTGCCTATGGCAGACCTATCCACATTAAAGTGAATTGGTCTACAATAAGCACATTTTCCATAATCATTTCAAATATTGACATAAACAATAGCGATTTATCACTTGGGTATTCTTATAAAAATTCTATTTAAAACACGATGATATGAGGTCTTAGTGATTAAATATGAACGTTTATATGACATGAATAATATTTTGTCTTAATTTGCTATATATAGATATGTTATCTCGGATTATGTATTTCAAACTTACCATCAACATTCATATATAATTATTTCAAAGTGTGTTGTAATTTATGATCATATCAATATAATTATTTACTGTATTACTGACCTTCCATTATAGACCAGTTCACTTAAAAGAACGTGGTAGACGACATCAACAGTCACTCGATACAATTTGACATTCAGCAGAAAGCACAGGTGCTATGATACAATAATTAGTACAGAAGTCACGAGGTATCACCACATTCTTCAATACGTTTTTCAATACGTATTTTGTTTCTGCTGGTCTTAGTTGTGAAGAACTATACTTATCATAAAAAGGTGTCTTTAAATTTTGATACATAAAGAAAATGTATCAATTGATATCTACTGTAAAAAGCAGTTTTTACCTCACTTATGAACCTCTTTGATCTCGTGAAGTCATCGGCAGTGAGACTAGAGGAAGTGTCCAGAACAAACACAAGATCTACTTGCTGATTTGTTGTACAACCTAGAATAAATGAATAAACTGTTATCGTTCTAGACGGCTAGAGCATGTCACACAGTATTGTCTTAACACACTCTAATTGTCATGCAATAACACAACAAGTTAAATGTTGATGCTGCACATCAAAGACGCCGCCAAATGATGTGAACAGTCACAGGTAATGTACAAAATCAGTCTTGAAAATCGCTCTCTATTACATTTGAATATCCGAAGCACTAGTCAATTTTTCCTCCATGTTCTTGGTATGTGCTCGTTGTTTAATAATTACGTTGCATATTTTTCTGAAAAAGTAGAACCTAATGCATAAATTCCCAAAGTAATGCCTTGAGAGAAATCCTGAAAAAAAAATTATGTTGCGACAAAGATTAAAAGGTCTTGTAAGCAAAATAAATTGGATAACAAGTAAAATTGAAATGATTGGTATACTTAAAATAAAATCAAGACAAAGAAAGAGGTAAAAAATATATTCGTTGCGCCGAGAATATGTCCATTTAAATATTGGTGCGAATTGCATAATGCTTGAATGATTTTGAGGACGAACTGTTCTGTTACAAATAGTAAAATTATGTCTGTAATATCAAATAATAGCTATGAATATTTTTTAAATATAATCAATTTTAAGTAACGTATTGTTTTCTTATTTCTAAAAGATTAAACTACATGATTAAACACAAGATTGCATATTTGCATCACGGGTCTGTCTGAAACTTAATGGTTGAGCTAAGCGTACTTTCTTTACGATTGAGAGAGAGCCGCCTCTCTGATAGAAGGAATGGTTTAGGCTTTGTAACTTGCAATTTAATGATTCGTCCTAATGTTGCAGTGAAGTGATATTGATCATAGTTGTCCTGGTTCCCTTCCCTCCGTCAATGAAGACTAAGTGCTAGCATACAGAGAAAGTATTATATTAAATTTGGTGACATTTTTCAAGGCAGAGCTGTACATCAACAGAGGCGGAGCAAATAAAGTGAGTGACGTTACCTCTCTTAACGATCGACTATAGACTGGCTCATTGTCACGTTATTTATTAGGTAAATAAAATTAGATAATAAAAAGAATATGATATTCAGACATGGCACTATCACTTCAGTTAAACGTTTATTTTAATCCCTTAAAGCTCGGTGACATGTTGTACATCAGAAAAGCTAGTTTTATTAGAAAATTTGAAAACAGTGTGGTTTTGTTAAAACAAAAAAAGATAAACAAAAATCAATTTTCCCCATTGCTGAATAGACAAATGCATATCTACTAGACGCCGCGTGAGAATGATAGTTACCAAGATCAAGTATTTTGGCTTGTTCAGTGAAGTTTGACGCTGGACTACCACCGTGAAAATTATGTCCCCAAAACGTCCCTTGCTGCTCATCATTCCAACTAAGTTGGTTCGACCCTTTTCTAAGGATTGTATAGAGTGCAGCAGCTATGCCGGAGTATAAAGGTTTTTGGAGGTCCGTCCAACTAACAGTGTTCCAGTTGATACCTAATTTATTTTGTATAATGTTGTATTGAGAAGTCAAGCTGGCATTGTTTTGGGTTTGACGGAATGCTGATTGGTCAACCTGTTAAAAAGTTAAGGATTAATTCATTTATGCAGTTGCAAAACTTTTCTTTTCGGATTACCTTTACGTTTCTATATAAAATTAGAAGCAATACGGTAATGAAAAACTACAAACACGTTATCTTAGTTTGAAATGAAAAACTTCAAACACATCATCTCCGTTACTTACCGAAATTTAAAAAAAATAAATTTGAAGGTAAAAATTGATATTAAATATAAAGCAATGGCAAATACAGGTTTAATAAAGAGACGTACCTGCCAAATACCGCCGTAATATCCGAATCTAAATGTTTTTGCAGCTGTTCCATCACGTGATTCAACATAAGCAAGTCGACGCAAAAATCTTCTATCGTCGGCAAATAAACATGATTCTCGAATAATATTAATAACAGCTTCCACAACTTCCGGCCCATATATTTTCGGTTGCCGCGTGTTATCGATTGACACACCAACTGCGATCAGGCAAGCTAAACAAAGTAGAAGGAGATGGCAGTCCATGTTTGAAAAAAGCGGACCACGCTAGCTAACAATGAAGAACAAACTGCAGGTCGCAGGGTATTGCTCCTTGGAACGACAGATAAAATATCAGCTCTTATATGACATGAGCATTCTGTTTTTAAGCTATAAGATTACGTGAAGTGCATTTAGCTGATACGGATTAAAGCAGATATCTTACACCATTGTCGACAATGTTCCTAGTCTAACCACGTGTAGTGTTTATAGTAATCTTACACCATTGTCGACAATGTTTCTAGTCTAACCACGTGCAGTGCTTATAGTAATCTTACACCATTGTCGGCAATGTTCCTATAGTCTAACCACGTGCAGTGCTTATAGTAATCTTACACCATTGTCGGCAATGTTCCGAGTCTAACCACGTGCAGTGCTAATAGTAATCTTACACCATTGTCGGCAATGTTCCTAGTCTAACCACGTGCAGTGCTAATAATAATCTTACACCATTGTCGGCAATGTTCCTAGTCTAACCACGTGTAGTGCTTATAGTAATCTTACACCATTGTCGACAATGTTCCTAGTCTAACCACGTGTAGTGCTTATAGTAATCTTACACCATTGTCGACAATGTTCCTAGTCTAACCACGTGCAGTGCTTATAGTAATCTTACACCATTGTCGGCAATGTTCCTAGTCTAACCACGTGCAGTGCTTATAGTAATCTTACACCATTGTCGACAATGTTCCTAGTCTAACCACGTGCAGTGCTTATAGTAATCTTACACCATTGTCGGCAATGTTCCTAGTCTACCACGGGTAGTGCTTATAGTAATCTTACACCATTGTCGACAATGTTCCGAGTCTACCACGGGTAGTGCTGATAGTAATCTTACACCATTGTCGACAATGTGCCTGCTCTAACCACGTGTAGTGCTTATAGTGATCTTACACCATTGTCGACAATGTGCCTGCTCTAACCAGGTGTAGTGCTTATAGAAGAAAGTATGTTTGCGTACAACTTGCATGTTTTATTTAGATGCTTTTCTTTTGCTGATATTCTTTTGAAACAAGAGATAGCATAATTGAGATAATTGGCTACAAATATTTGATATCATTTAATATAAAAAGAAAGATCAGTAAAATGAAATTCTTGAGATTCAGTTCCCCCACCGTCATGAACGTAAAAAGTCGGCAAATAGCGATGTGAACATTCGGTGTAAGTAAAAACTTTCCCCGATAGTTCCAATTGTCATTTTAATGCATAATTTCCAAAAATGTTTGAAAAAACACTTACGTTTATTTTATTACAGGGTGTTGGCTTAAAAGTCGTATACTTCTATATAAATTCACATGCTTTCTGGTCATTATCATTGGGCCTTTAAATATGTTTTCATTTAACTTTCTAAACACAATTCATGAAAAACAATTTATAACTAAGATGCTTTAACAATAAAATTATCAATTTTGATTGAAAACTGAACCTCTTCCTGTTAGATAACGTACCCGGGTCACCTTCAAACCAGTGCATGTTAAAACAGACGCGGATTTTAGGGCATTAATCTGCAGATCTTGTTCATATTTTGCGTTGAATTTCGTTTAGTGATAACAAAAATAGATACATGAAGGCAATCGGCGATGATCATGCAAGTTGAACTGATTGTATAATCAAAATTTCTATGTTTGTTTGACCTTTTTAAGATCCGTGTGCTCTTCTGTTTATATTATCTTTTATATCAGTATCCAAAACAGAACACAAGGAAAATATACTTTGGAAAAAATAAGATTACATGAATGTGAGCGTTTCTCAGTCAAATTAACATGTCACCGCGTGTTGATCGAACTTGCGATATCCCGCTTACCCGCCATTTAGTGTTGTCTTATGAGCGAAACATATATATATTATACATTTTTAAAATTAAGTTAATACTATTTCAAACAGTTTTTTAACATTCCATCAATGTGTTCGTTCGTTTTTATTCATTATATAATCTGCACAGTTTGTTTTCAATTAATGATCTATTTTTCGTGTATTCGACGAGTTAAAATAATTTGTCAGATGATAGAAAATTTCATTAAATTGGTACGTTTTGCTTGTCTAAAGTTTAAATTGTAAATCAAACAATACAAATAGCCATTTTACTGCTTGTTCTGTTCTGAATTATAAAAAAGACTACAAAAAAGCTTTATTATAATTGGTATGACTGCGAAATAATAACCTTTAATTATAAAAGTGATATCATCTTGATTTCTAAACATTTTCAGGCCATAGTTTAGCGGATTTCTGTATGAATTCTTTTTTCTCCCCCACTTTTTTTTGAAAAACAAATTATTTTCTTAAGTTTTATTAAAGGCAGATAACATACCTTTATTGCTAAACAAAATCTAAATATGTGTGTGGATTTTTGACACAGAGATTGACAATATTACATTTGTTTTCTCAAATCTGACACTTGTGCTAGCGTGATATATTACACAATATTAGAAATAATGGACTAAAATTGTACAATATTATCTGTAAATAAACCTTTTTGACTGTTTATGAGCTTTTCCAGGACATTACTTGATGTATTATCTTTTTTGTTTTTTCCTGCGTTTAAAAATGCACGTATGTCTTTATAACACAATCCGACATGATGCGAGTTGACTTTTATACCATCGCTACGCTCCAAAAAACGAGAGCAATTGGCATTAGTTTAACATGTGCATTAAATTTCAAACAAAATCTCATACTTTCAAGTTGTGTTCGTGTGTGTTTCAGAGGTTTGTCGTGTGACCTATGTAAGAATTATACTTGCTTTGGCTGTTAATAAGATTTCTAGTCAGATTCGAGCTTGCCTCCCTATGCCATGCCACAAACACTTGTATACCACAATGAAAATACATGTACCTTCTCTGGTGTTGGTGTGCTGGCCATTGTGATTGTGTTAGTGTTAGGTTGTTTGCTTAACTACATGTTGTATAATATTACAATATGCACATTGTGAAAAATAATTAACTTATCTTGTCGTTCCAAATTTCATATCAACCAGAGGGACTGTATTTACTTCATGAAGTCTAATTAATAATAAACATGTTTACATCCAGATTTAGTTTTTAAGTCTATAAAAATATAGGAAAACACACTAAGGTTTAAGGTTGACTACTCTATTTGATAATACTATACCCTTACATTTTAACTCGATATGTGAAGGAGAAAATAGGTCAATCACGGGGTACGTTTTCAACTGTTTAAACATTTATGTAAAATTCAAGCTTTTTTAAAGAAAATCGACATGTGACTTTATCCTCCTTGCTTTCCTCTATATTTACCCATTATTATTCGGACTTTTATGCATTTTTCATCGAGATATTATTTCCGTCGTGGGTTCTGGTGTGCCCAAAATATGCAATGCGTATGGACGTATGTCGCTAAACGGACTCCAAATACAGAGTTTTCACAAAATCTTATCCCAAAACGAGGCTTAACATTCAAACAAGCCCTTATTGAAACATTTATTGAGATTGGGCTCAAAATAAAGGAATTGCTGGACAAATTCCAGTCGAGGTCCATATGTGCTGAAGACATCCATATAGATCCAAGCTACATACATGCTAAGTTAAGTATCAATAAGTCAAAGTGAACTGAAGTTATTGAGTAGAAGCAGAAAATCTGAAAATGCTATTGTAAGTAAGTGACCTTGACCTTGCTCCCAGATATCTAATTAGATTTGGTGTCAATAGGTCTGAGCAAACTCAAGCTATTATGCAGAGACTGATTTTTTTTCGAAACAGTGACATTGACCTTGATCACATACATCTGGGTAGCAATTCCGAGTTGCGTCTTCCACACACCAAATTTGCTGCAAAAGGTCACAGCTAACTCAATTCATTATGTGGAAACTGAATTTCTATTTTTAGAAACAGTGACCTTGACCTTAATCATAATCACCTGGATAGCGTCTTAATATAAACTACCTATACATACTTAGTTTGGTGCCAATATGTCAATGCAAACTGAAGTTATTAAGTGGAAACAACTTAATTTGAGCCGCGTCACGACAAAACCAACATAGCCTCCACGCAGTCTGGTCAGGATCCATGCTGTTCGCTATCAGTTTCTTTACTTGTAATAGGGTTTGTAAGCGAACATCATGGATCCTGATTAGACTGCGCGGATGCGCAGGCTGGTCTGGATCCATGCTGGTTGCAAACGCATTACGTTGGTTTTGTCATGACGTGGCTCATTTATAATTTTAGCAACAGTGATATTGACCTTTATCACAGACACCTGGGTAACAATCTCAAGCTGCGTCTTCATATAAGCTACCGTCACACAAAGTTTGGTGTCATAGCAAACTGAAGTTTTTGAGCGAAAACTGAATTTCTATTTCTAGCCACAGTGACATTGACCTTGATCACAGACACCAGTTCTGGGTAGCAATCCCAAGCTGCCTCAAGTTATTTAGCGGTAACCAAAAGTTGCCCAACCTCGGCATTAAAATAACTGGTTTTCGTTGAATAGGCACTATATATTATTATTATTATTGTAAAAGGACACTATCTAAAAGTACAAAAGATACCTTTTAGGATGTTTGCAAATATATGTACTTGTTGATACTATAATTTTGCTTATTGAGTGAGACTTTTAATGGTAACATATACAAAATTTTAACTTACGATGATATATATTCAAGTATGGTAAAATAAAAATTATAAATTACACCAGGAAAGAGCTGTCAATTTTATTTTCAAATCAGAAGTTATGTCATATTATCTCCTTAACTTCAGGATAGACGGGCATCACAACTCGAGATTTGTTTAGGTCTGCTGTAAATAATGGTCTTATTGGATTCTTTCTCTTGTCTTTTATAACAGAACATCCTCTTAAATGAAGACCAGCAGTATCATTATGTAATACCTTACTCTCTGTCAATTTACCACGGAACCTTTGATTGAAAATGTAGTCTACATCCAAAGACAACACTCGTTCAGATGCTGTCCCGTCACGTGATTCTTTAAGCTCATGCACGAGTCTGCACACCTAACATGAAATTCAAATTAAAACTTATAAAACTGTAGAATATAGTGTCTAAATAGAAACAAGTAATTGTATCAGGCGCAAGTCTTTTAAAACATTATTTGAACTATGTACATTCATACGATATGCATTAAGTCGAACGTTTTCAATTTAACAATGGTATTGTTTTGCAACAATAATACAAAATGAAAGCATGGTTTCTGAAAACAAAGGTACAAGTATTTTTTTCCAAGAAAAACGAAAGCTATTTATGAATGTTGTTTCGTCATTTTAATTTGACCTGTCATGGTAACATAAAAAAATGCGTGTTTCTCATTATTGCATATAATGAAGATTTTTTATTGTTGCGTGTCTTCGGTAACGTTTATTTAACAAACATTAATTTAGTGTAATACAATTTATTTTGGCTTGGATAGTCCGGAAACACAACAAACCAATGCCATATTTTCTGATTATCCTATATGTTAGGAGAATGAAACAACATAACAAAAATATATGTTAAATTATTATCCTCTCGACTTTTTGATAAAAACAAATAAAAATGTCAAAAAGATGGCAACATAATCTAAGATGAATGTAATAATGTTTAGATTGGGTACTTACATTAGATGTCATTGTACATATAACAAAATCACACATGACTAGAGTATGAACATCTAACAAAACTCCTTTCAATGATGATGTGGAATATCTGACACCTTTCGTTATATTGATGACATCTTCGTGATAAACATATGTATAATTAGGATATCTGTAAGGTGATAAACATTTAAATATTACACATGTTGGATGATAAACATTCAAATAAACGTTTCAATAAAAAGGATACATGTAGTGTACTAAACCTTGAAATATCAGACTTATAAAGTAGGTTATTAAACATTGAAAATTCAAATGACTGACAAAAATATATAAGATTATATATAAGACGATAAACATACAAATATTAGAATCTATAAACGGTAATGAACATTCAAATATTTAAATGTGTGTAGAATAATGAGAATATACTCATTGGGCTGGAGTATTAGAAAACATTTTAGGTGATAAAATTTTCAAATATCACGATACGTGGAGGATGATACACATTCAAAAGATAGGAATCATGCACGAAGTAGGATTATATATCTACATGGTGATAAACATGTAAATGATAGATAAACGTTCAATTGGTATATCTGCAGGGTGATAAACATGTAAATGATAGATAAACGTTCACTTGGTATATCTGCAGGGTGATAAACATGTAAATGATAGATAAACGTTCAATTGGTATATCTGCAGGGTGATAAACATGAAAATGATAGATAAACGTTCAATTTGTATATCTGCAGGGTGATAAACATGTAAATGATAGATAAACGTTCACTTGGTATATCTGCAGGGTGTTTTTAAATATTCACGACACGTGGCAGGATGATACACATTCAAACGATAGGAATCATGCACGAAGTAGGATTTTATATTTACATGGTGATAAACATGTAGATAATAGATAAACGTTCAATTTGTATATCTGCAGGGTGATAAGTATTCCAATATTAGAATATTTTATTGGTTATATAAATTTAAAAAAAAAACATTTATATCTCCTCAAGTCATGATAAACATGGGTATTATTTACTATTAGACATTATCTTATTTATCAAGGCATTTGTATATGTAACAGCAGTTGTTTTTTCTTCTTATACGATAATAAGGCTTGTAATACATGTATATTGAAATGACTGTACATGTATATATTAGCTGAAAAGCAACACTATCAACAAAATTTTTATTATGATTGCTTAAAGCTGATTATACCCACTTTTGTTGAGCTTCTCGTATGATATTCGGTTCATCTGTGGCAATAAAAATATATCGTGTGTGTGTATTATTTATCAAGTGTTGGTTGAACCATTGGTCGGCATATTTCATATATTCTCTCAGACTGATATAGTTAGCTTCATTTATCTTGTCTGTTCTCCTCACATGTAATCTATAAATATAATATACATTGTTTAAAACAATCAGCAAATATTGTAACTACTCCTAACGGAAGCACTAAAATGTCAAAGTAACAATATTATTAAAATAATGTGATGTAGTTTAAAAATATACCATGGTGATCCCAAGAAGAAGCTTATCGTTCAAGTATTCAAGTGGTTAAGCAAAATTTCATTGCGAATGTAAAAACTTTTTGTTTGCAAAGCTATAATGTTCACACATCACAACTCACATTAACATCATTCTAACAGTCCGAACATTCTTTTAAATTAACATACTGTAAAAACGAGGAGATAAATTATATATATATATAAAAATGCCTGACTTATACATAGTTATAGTCCTATAATAGACAACATTAAATGGACACATGCCCTATAAGTATTTCAAACATTGATAAAAATAGATCTTTCATCAAAATTTATGATGAAATCATATTTTCCATGCTTCTGCCCATCTAATAATGAAAAGGACTCCTCTGATTTCTTTTTTGTTTGTTTGTTTGTTTTTGTGTTGCTTTTTTTGTTTGTTTTGTTTTTTTAAATGAAAGGACTGGACTTTTTTCTCAAATTTGTGTACCATTTGATTTAGGTCTAGACCAATAACTAGTGTGTTATTTTCTAGATCATTACTTCACCCTGTTTTTCATGAAGCATTTTTTTAATGAGCAAAATGACCAACACTAAAAATGAAAAACATTACAACGCTTTTCGCTCAAAATGACTAGAAATGGTAAGAAATGACACAAGCTAAATAAACCTTTCGTCTCTTTCAACTAGTACCCCTACTTTAAATCTTTAAAAAGCAAATGTGCCAATCTAATACCCCTTTTGTTATATTTCTTGACTGACCTAAATGACTGTCGGCATGAATAGCGTTTTCTATGAGTACTAAACTACCCGAAATTATTGTAAAAAATGATATTGGCGCGACTATGTTTTATTATAAAGTATTATTTATAAATTTATACTAATTATATTCACCCAACTATCGGTCGTCTGATATTGAGTTTGTCTAGTTGTTTGTGTATGTACGATTTCAAATCTATATTTGGTCTGATAAGATAATCTACAAATTGTCCAATCCACCAGATTTCTGGTTTGCTATGTACTCGTTCTAGTCTGTCAGCTAGATCGTCTGGTATAGCAAAAGGAAAGTAGTTCTGAGGATGAACGTGCAGCATTAATCGTGGTAACTGAATGGCTTGCTTGTCTTTAATTTTCTCCAGGTCTGTGACAACAAAAATATCATTATACCATTGATCAGTTAAAGATTTAGGAAAAGAGAGAACCTGATTCCAGGAGTATACAAACTTTATTTTCAATAAATGTACTTTATTGCTTTTTATACCATGTTTTGACATTTCAAAATTTGTAGAGTACTGGATATTGCAAATTGGTTGAAATATTTCTATTTAGAATTGGTGGGCAGTTTGAAAATACTAAAAACATTATCTGTAGGCGATTGGAACGTCTCATTTCAAACATGTTGCTTCCTTATATTTTATAAATTAATGAAAGGATGTCGCTTTCAAAAATGGTAGCTTAATTTAATTTAGCTTATATAGAGACAAAATTTTGAAATAAGCATGTACTATATACAGTTTGTTTACTTTTTACCACAAATAGATAATACAAATCATCATCGAAACCAATCATATCAGTTTAGCTTTGGTTCCATGTAAAGAGTAAAAACCCAAATCCATATCAAATGCAAATCATACCCATATGGCCTCATTTTTTATCAAGATAAAATACATATCGATCCCTTACTTGTTCTGCAAGATTATGTGAAAATGTGAGAGAAAAAGAGATCATTATACATTGTTGAAAACAATACTGAGTCTATTGAACTCGTACATAGCTACAAACAGCTGTTTACTCGACTTATATAATTCATAGTGTACTCATCAAATATATAATAACCTCATAGTAATTCACGGGTAATAAAATCTTTCTCACAACACCTAGCTGTTTTAATTTATAGTACTATAACAACAATTCGCAAACTTTATTTCAACAGAGGGCTAATGTATGCTTCTTTAAACCATTCTTATATTGCCCTGCATATTTCTATATACTTTATAAATATCAAACCACGTTTTTGACTAAGGATAACTGTTTTCTATGTGGCTGATTTGTGCCATGTTTTATGGGTGACAAAAGTTTAAATCACACAAACCTTATATAGTATAAGAGTTTAAGAGTAGAAGGAGAATATGGCCCATAAATCTTGTAAAATTAGGAGTTCCGTGCCTAACCAACTTTCGTACATATTTACCAAGTGTTTTTAGAAGCGTACTTAAATGCAAGAGATGGTTTTATTCTAATAATTTTTCGCATTTTTTTTAGCCAGAATCACATTTTTATGCCAGAATCGAATTCCTTCAAATTTGAATGACCCTGAAATGAATGTCGTAATAACATTAAATTACTTATTTTCACATTTGTATCGGCTACTTATGAAAATATGGCATATTAACTGTTGGTTAAACCTTTTGAAGAGATACAATGATTTATTAAATTGTTAATAAAATACTAATAGCATTTTATGCTTTGAGTATCGCCTTATTGCCCTACTCAAAATGCCAATGCGCGAAATGCACTTTTTCTCAAACTAGTCTCTTTTCTCTTAAACTATCTATATCTTACTTGTAGTGTGTGTAACTGTGTTGTTCATGGTAGATGTACAGTTAGTACTAATTGGAAGAAACACAGTCTCCCAACCTTTAGCTGCATAACGCCAACCTTTCGACTCTAGTATAAGTGTTCTGTGAGTCGCGTAAGCCACTATAAGACAGAGGGTCACTTGGTGTAAGCCGCTTCCAAAACCAACTTTAAGAAATGGAAAACAAAATTATGACTTTGTCAATGAAACCGTCGGCTACATGTGCAATAATGAGGCTTTATGATTATGAGAAAATAACCGATGCTTCGATTATAATGATGACGACGACAATGTTCGTCATTATCGAAATAACGTAGTCTATGGTAGCTTAAATCAAAGTGCTGAAGGCACTGCAGTTGCGTTATTGATGTGGTGCGTCACAAGCTCAAAAATAACCATTATTTGACTATTTCCCGACTATTTCGGGGGCAGATAATTCAATGAGTGAAGGGTGTTGCCAGTTGAAAAATATAGAGTGCACACTATAGTTAATGGGTTGAATCAATCATTCTATGACATAAATGTATAACACTCGGGTTACATAACTCGAATTGGCGCTTTTTTGACAAGAGCAACAATTTCAACAACAACTGTCAGAGGAAACAGCATGCTCGACTTAACAAGTGCCGTGTGGCAGCTGTAAAAAGTTGCCTTGTACTTCACTTCAGTGTTGTTATATTTTTCTGGTCCTTTGGGATCATTGATGTCAGCACTATTTAGTGTTGAGAATTGAGTACCGCTCAAGCCGGTACTAAATGTTGCACTTATTAACTATCCCTCATGTACAGACTTAATCAAACAGAGTCTTTAATTTTCATGTAAATTTGTTGTAATGCTTCCGAGGTATCACGTTGTTTCCAGATTTTCTTTTAAACAAATACTGGAGGCAAAACTATGAAAATAATATGATATAAAAAAAATTCTGTAGAAGTATCAAGAAACCAAATGATGTAATAAGCAAAAAAAATGAAAGTGTGATAATTTAAAAATTCACCCAAGATGTTTATAATGAAAATCTTCACTAAACTTATGTGTCATGATTATCTGATCAGTATTTGGAAAGGTTTGAAGTAAATTTCATATACATAAAGTAAATCATGATATACAAAATAGCATAGATTGTGCATTATACATTAAAGTATAACAAAACCCTTTAAAATGATATGTCAACAGAATTGTTCTTACATGTATTCGGTTTACAAATTATTTTCTTTGCAGCAGTGCAGTTCTTGGGATTCTAAAATTGAAAATGAAATGCATGTACTAACGTGAGCAAACTGATTTATATCTTAATATGCCCATCTGGGTAACACCGTTTATTTACACTACAATAGTAACGATATCAGATACTAGTTTAACCTGCATGATTATTTTACCTTGACCTTTATATTATCAGTACTATTCCATTAATGCTTGAATGGGCAGTTCTTATTTATAGACAGGCGATTCTCGCCACTAGCCAGTTCTGAGATTAAACTTGAAAAGCTCACATCTGTGTTCTTACTTCAATCTATTCACATTTGTGAATTACTGAACTCCGTATCCATAATAAATATACGTACATAAATTACACAAGAAACATTACAAATAGGTATAAGGGTGTCGGTGCCATCTCCCAGCATACCTTACATCTTTAATATAAAATGTGTATTTTACATAATAATTATGTTAATGTAAATACTATCCTTTGAACAAACACACCTATATACATCATGCGCATAAATATTAACATACATACCGATAAACGCATCTATTTTTTTTTTAAAGTTTATCAATCAAACTACCACATTTTATTAAACAATTATTATATCTGTTTCGAGTTCAATTTCCTTTTCACTTTTTAGTGTAGTTTTAACAATTAAAGATCTTGCAATTGCCCATCTATTATTTTACATCTTCTGTCAAGTTTGTATTTCTATAGATATTCCGTGCTAATTTCAAAACTATTTATTAAAACCAATACATCTGGTAAGACGTTTTTTCTTTTAGATTTATATCATTTATAGTGAAACGGATTACACCGAACATAAAACATAAACTTGAAATTATAACATTTATCAGCCACTGAACCAACAATTAGGGATTCCGTTTTTCTCTAAACTCTAGAGTTACGGGCCCTTAAACTCTTCAATTTCAAGTCATTTTGAACAAGGAAATTTATTATTCTGGGAAAACGGAGATAGTGGCGTGATTGGAAAATGTTTACAAATGTTATTGTTCCTAACCTGAATCATATGGTACACAATCTTGCCTGATATGCAAGAAAATACTGTCTATAAGTTTGAACAAATACATTTTTATTATTACTTTTAATAACACATTAGGAACCTATTTGATATTTCAATGGTATAAAATATTTTTCTTTAATCTTGGATATAAAACTAACCTGAAGATAAAATAGTCTTCTTTGTACAAGGTCCCTCAACGTTTTGAGTACTGTTACATTTTGATGCATAGATGTCACAGGTTCAGTTACATTCTTGTCTCGGAAGCTAAGTGATTGGCTTTGATTCTTGTCTACATATCTACCAGATAGAAGTTTAATTAATTGCCTGAAATAGGCATTTTAAACAGACTGATTTAGGAAGTAAATTTTAAATGCAAATCTACACAATAAAATGCTTTACAAATTTATGTTAGTGTGATATAGAGAAGAAGTTATTTTTCCTTCTCATGGGAAAGAAGAACTGTATTTGTTGAACCTCGATGAGACGTGACAAGTAATATTAAACTTCACCTAGAAGTCCAAAAGCATTAAGAATGTAGATGAACGCAGACATCATTTGGAAGTTTTACATTGAGATCAGAATTAAACAAATTCAACCAGTGATAGAGGACAGAAAACAGTTACTTATACTTGTAATCATTGAACAAACTAAGCAAAGTTTTGTAACAAATGGCAAATATGTTATTCCTCATCAATTTTATCGCAACTATATACTAATTGTCATTTTTGCTTGTTTTAATTATTTCTTTTTTCCCTAATTTCATAGTGCTGATCGAGCTAGTCCATATGTTCAAATTACAATTTACTGTACTTCAAGATAAAATTGTCCGGTCCATTATATCTCGTTTTACATCGTACAGTTGTTAGTGTTTTACGATTAAATGAACGAAGAAAGCCAGTGTTAGTGAAAGACCATAGTTTTAAGTGCAATATCACAATGATCGAGGGATATCAGAATTGAATGATGATTCGGCATCAGCAACATTTTTGCCTACGATTTTGGTTCCGACAGCTTGATTTAGCTATTATCAAGATAAATCTACTTACGGCCCCTCTACTTGCACTCCTGCATGTTTATAACATTTTTTTTTAGTGTTGGCCTAGAAGGAATTTTTGTTTTTGACATTACATACGTGTTGTATTATAAAACATAAAATAAAATCAACATATAACATAATAAAATGTATAAACTAATATATAATATGTAATATACATATAATTTATAATGTAAAACATTGGTCAGTAAGTACATATAATCCATAAATTAATGTAAGTTTCTCACCTGCTGTCATCTAAATGATTCCAAACTTTAAGCGGCCGGATATTCTGTTTTAAGCATAATAGACTCCACGCAATGAAAGTTATAAAACAGTAAAAACATGTCACACATACTGCATATTTCCGGCTGAAATACAAGTAACATGTTGATATCAACCTTTTTAGGTATTTATTGTTCTTTACAATGTTAAATATCAGTTTAGCTTATATTTATTAGTTATTTTAGCCCCCCCCCCCTGCCCCCCACTGCCCCCTCCCCATTTGCGCGGTATTGTCAGTAATGTGTCAGTGTCGCTGTTAAATTCTTACAAATATTTTTTTCTCTCGAATTTTCGTTTAAATTTTATAAATCTATTTTCTAGAAACAACTGTCAACTTCACTAAAAAATTTGTCTTCAACCGAGTGTACTTGTGTATCAAGGAATAGAAGATATTATGCATGGATAATAATATTGTTTATATTTACTGGTGCACCTTTTTAAAATAATAAATGTTATATGATTGTACATAGTTGATGTATAATAAATACACTGTCTGGTTGATAAACTTTACAAGTACATGTACCAGGTGTGTCTCAACTAATTCCTGGATTTTGTGCGTTATCTGGAATGATGGGGAGACGACAATATTTAATATATGTTAATATATTATAATAATTTACAAGCTGTTATAGTAAATTTTTTGTTTAGCTCATGGTAAAGACAGAGCTTAATTACTTGTAGACGTGTTTCCTCATGCCTGATAGACTTCAAGCTGTTATGTCAGAGAATAAATGCTGCAAATGCTAGAGATTCTACTGTTATACTTAATACGCATGAATAACCTGAACAACCAGTGCATGCAGCTGTTTTGGTCTGCCACGTTTGCATATACATGAATTTCATTTTTTTTAAAATTCATAAATGGTAAAAATCTTTTAACAAAAAAGGGGCCTCCGTGGCCGAGTGGTTAAGGTCGCTGAATTGAGATCACAGGTCCCTCACCGCTGTAGGTTCGATCTCACTCGGGTCGAAATCTTTCTTACGGAAGGTCGGTGGTTCTACCCTGGTGATAAAGTTGTCAGCAACTTAACCCATTCAAAAAGAAGTACATGTACAGAAAAAAAAATCTTCAAACTTTGTCTAAACTAGACAAAAACATTAATTCAACATCGTATCATAATCAAGCTTAGAAAAGAAATGTGTAATAATTGCACCTTTCCCTTTAACAAAGGTGAACATATGGAAACGACCATGTAGCAATTAGACGGTGCATCGAGGCACTTGCAAGGCTACAAAATCGTCTTAACTTGTAACATGTAATGTCTAACAATTTATTATATGAACATGACATAATAAAAAACAGAGGTAAAGGTAAATTGCTAATTTATAAGATGTGGAATGTTACTTGTAAAAGAATAATTTGAACTAGTAATGCGTCCATAGGACACGGATACCACCACATTCCACTGTTTTGTCAATCTACTGACTCTAGGTCAAATGTTGTAACACAAGTTGAAAATCTTTTAATAAGTTAATGACAAAAACTCTACAAATACAGAATAATTCCACAAGAAAAACCCAAGGTGCATAAGTACACATGCTGACGAACATTCTTGTATACTTTCAGGACTACAGGTCAAATACTTTTCGAGCTATGCATGAACAAGTCTATAATTTATACTCAGACAAGGACCATAACTCTGACAAATCAGAATCAATCCAAAAGAGACATCAGGTGCACAACTTCACATCCTGAGCAACTGTAAAGTTTTTTGACCCTAGGTCAAATACTGTTTGACCTATGTGCGATACAAGTTGCAAATGGCAAATTTTACTAAGTACTAAGTCAAGGGCAATAACTCTAAAAATACTGAATAAATCTACACACAGGTGCACAACGTCCGATATTAAAGGCACCCGGGAGGACATTTTATGATATTCCTTTATAAATCAGTCAGTTGTCAATATGTCAGGAGAGCAGGTAGTTGCTAGAGGCAAGGAGAAGACCAAACAAATGGTGAGTGAGGCTACACCCACGCAGACCTTCTCCTACGGTCACCTCTGTGCTGAACCTCGTCATATATTGCTGCAACAATTATATCTTTGATTGCCTTTGCCGTAAGAATCATCCGCGTAGACGTTCTTGCTCGACGAGAAGGTCATGTTTAATTCAAAAGACTTTACAAATACAATTTTTAGGCAATTACAACAAACTCAAGCTGCAATTACACCAACATTTTTAATCATGATCCTCTTTAATATTGCAAGGTTAAAGAAAAGGAAAATTGCCTGCGTTAGGTTGCTTTTGTCAATAATAACACTACTCCAAGAAACGTATTTTAAACAAACTGATGTGTGACGTAACTTAGGGCCCAGTTACACAGACGGTCGGTCCCCAATCGGTTATTTAATTTTAAATTTACTCGCTGTTATGATCGGTTGTCATGCGTGATTTTATTTTAGGTTTTCTGTGTAAACGGCCATCGGTGACAGAAAGCAAACTCAAACGGGAATGGGTCGATGATTAAATGCTGAAATACTTTTGGTTTTTATCGTTTGTAAATCGGAGCTAAATCGGGCGTAACGCTGATAAATCGGTGTTTGATAGAAAGTCATCAGTGGTTAAACACTTTCCGTCAGATATGGCCGGTGATTCATATTTGGTTATCTTTGTCCGATCGGCGATATCGGTGATTAAGAGCTTGCACATCTCGTGATATAGGTTGCCGTCGGTAATTTTTAAAATATTTTCACCGATCGAGAATTTTAAACGTGTTTAAAAATCTCAATCGGTAATTTTTCACCGACGAAACTTATCTTTCCCCAATAGCAGTTGATAGGTGGAAAACAGGTGACCAATAGGTGATATCGGTGATAAATACGCTGTCATCGGTCCACTCCATAATTTGGCTAAAAAAAACTACCGATCAATCACCGATGGCTCTGTGTAACTGGGGTGTTAGGAAGCAAATATAACAACACCAGATACTTAAACACAATGTGGTTGATTTTAATCTGCAAGTCGCAAACCTGTATTCTTTCAAAAATCAAGTACAAGAAATGACTGTACTGATAAAGATAGGAGTTTGGAGAACCAGACATCTTTACCAATTAACAACCAGTCATTTGTACCTATTTACATAATTGCTGCTAAATTGTTTCATCTATATCAAAAGTGAAGATTTTAGAGGAAAATAATAATATTTACTCGACATTTCTTTCACAAAATAAATTGAAACAGAATACATTATCAAGTACATTATTATATCATTATTAATTAATAAATCAGATACTTGATAAACTTACTTCATCTGTTACGATATATTCCGAGTTGATACACGAGCTTAATAATGTATTAATCTTGATTCAATTGCTCAAGCATAACTGTAATCCTTTGTTTGAGATTACGGCTCTACAATAGTGCACATGATAAACGTCACTAAAATCGTTACATAACGAAACAAGAATAGCATAAGGAGGCGCCAAAAAAATTGATCTAGCACCTAAATACTTAACAAAAGATATGTACTTTATAGCAGTACCATTACATGTGACCTTGAGGCTAGGCCAAATTTAAAGCTGCACGCCTCAAGATGAGCAAATATATTTCAATAAAATCAAACCTGAGAAAAATGTACTAAGACTTTAGGAAAAGCATAAAGATTTTAAATTCTGGTAATAATTTACATGTTATGTGGCATTAATGACCGATTTTTCAGTATTTATACCTATATTTCTACTGCGTTACTAACGCAGTAAGGGCTATTTCTGCATATTTTGACCTCTTTATGGTAATTTACATGGGTTGAAAGTGTCATTGATAATGTGTAAATTGCATTCTTTTGGTAACTCCACAATATTATACTTTTAAATAAATTTTCAAATTTTCATGAAAATTAGTTTCAATCTGGAGGCGTGCTGCTTTAAGTTGAAACTTAAACAAAAAAGAATAGACTCTGTTTTGCCAAGATGCAAAGACAATTTATAGTCAATTAACCAATCTTATATGACTCTTGCCATAAGAGAGAATTACTTCAGATTTATTTTACTAGATACATGGATACGTAAGTCATCAGCATATAATAAAAGTTTATTGCTTAGGGTTGCAGACATGGCATTGACATAATAGACATTAAAGAGGACCTAAAATGAACCTCAGTGGGACACCATAGGTACTCGGAGCAGTAGTTGAATGAGTACCAGCCACATCCACCAGCTGCTGTCTCTCAGAGATAAGACTTGACCCATGTAAGAATGTCATTATCTATGGCAGATGCTTGAAGTTTCATGAAGAAGAAGAAAAAAAGGAAGAAGAAGAACTTCTTCTTGTGCAGTATAGTGTGATCAACTGTATCAAATGCCTTTTGTAGATCTAAAAGTATCATGCAATACTGCCTTTGTCCATTTCAAATGTAATACAATCTGTTAAATGAATCAAACATAGGTCAGTTGAAAAACCACTTCTAAACCATGATTGAAACTGCCTGACCATAACTCGAACCCATGACTGTCAGAAAACCAAATGAGCTATCCGGCCGGCTACACATTTTCTCTTTGATAATGAAACAGTTCTAAACCACAACATATTTCCCTACTATACTGATTTGTGTCCTTGAATTTCTGATGTTTGCAGAGCATTGTGAATTAAACTACCCGCATAATAATGTACCGTGGCTGTATCACATTTTCTCCCCTAAATAGTGAACAGTTCTTAACCGTGACAGATACATTTAGTTAACAGGTAGATTAATTCTTAATTAAACAAATAAGAAAAAACTAACATACTCATAGTCTTAATCAAAATAACAATTTATATATTGTATAATTATTTTTACTAAAAAGGGCTTAGACAGTTATTGGTTGTGCCATTATTTATAACAGGTCAATTTGAAAGTGAACATAACTCACAGTACTAATACATGTACATTATCTATTTTTTGAACAGATAAAAAACTAACCTTTTTCTATGATAAGAAATTTTATGAAGGTTGATTTGTATTTTGCATCAGGGACACCAGGCGAAAACATGAAAATGCAACAAACGAACCACTTTGTGGTAGTTTGTATTTTCATGTTTTCATCTGGCGCCCGTTTACTTTTTGTACTTTGTTGGTTTTCACCCACTATAAAATTGAGTGCATGCACACATTTATTCAAGGGAAAGTAACAATCTACTCTATGAAAAGTCTGTTGTTGGGTTGACCTGGAGACCTGGAGGTTGAGACAGGTGTCCCTCCATTACAAATAGATAAGGCAGAAGCTGTCCTTTTTAAACTATGCACATGTTAGAAAAAATAGAATGTTCAGAAAATGATTTTTTGAGACTTTATTAATTATATCACAGACACTTGTGGTTTGGAGCTCAAAATGCCTTTAAACACTAAATAAAATGCATATTTGTCAATCCCAGCACATGTACTGATCATATATATCAAAAAACTTAATATAAGCCGTTTTGAAAAAAAAATCATTTTCAACATCTATTATAATACGAGTACACAAGATAAAAATTTTCGCCGGAAAAAATCCGCACCCCTACCGTCATAATCACCATGTATCTTATTCCATTTCCAATATTTTCACATAATCCTTTGGTCCATCGACACAGAAGATATAATTCTTCAAGATGATGGTCAATTTTAAACTTCAACGCAACAGCCGAAATAAACATCAAGATTATCGCCGTTTTCCTCCATTGACAAAATCTTTCGATAAATTCAAACGTGGCCCCAGCTTTGCCGTGTGCAAAATACGCAGCGCTTTTAAGTTTGGGAAGTTTTCCAACTTCAAAAAAACCTGTCGGCTATGAACGAAGCCATCCGATTATGTTGGTTCCTAAACTTAAAAGCGGCTTATATTAAGTTTCTTTTGATGTATATGATCAGTACATGTGCTGGGATTGACAAATATGCATTTTATTTGGATTTTAAAGGCGTTTTGAGCTCCAAGCCCCAAGTGTCTGTGAATTAAATTACTTGATTCAAGTTAAAGGACATTTTCAATCAATGCATGTATTATCATTTATAACTTTAAATGAAAGTCTCATCCCTCTAATAATAATGTCATAACTGTAACTCTTATAATACAGAAATATTATAAGTCTTCTGTTCTTCTGGTAGGAAAATATATAAATGATTGAAAAAGAATACGGCATCAATGTAGACCACAATGATATTCGAAATCCGGGTTTTAGTATTGCCAGGGGACAAGCTGTTAAACTGAGCCTGCAATTTCGTGAAAATAAAATCACAATGCACATGCTTTTTACATAAAGTTATTAAATACAAATATAACAACATATTTGTTTACAATCAAAATAAAACTAATTAACATAACATGACATTAACTGCTAATAATAACAGCTCCTTCCATAGGCCAAAATAAAAAGCATTCCATAAGAGACGACGCCGCTCACCGGCGTCGCCAATAAGACTTCCAGCATCTCTCAACAACCATCTGTAGTAACAAATAACCAATTTTATTCGTTTCCATCATTTAATTTTCAATATATATTTAAGACGGACTCAATTCGTCCGTAAACATCGAGCAGAACTCTTTATTTCGGACATTCGTGATAAATAACAACGTATGGCAAAAAGTAAGCAGTTTTGATGCAATATCAACACATGTTATGTCAGCTTATATGAAAAAGAAATTTTAAATGAACTAATAAGTCAACTAATTGAATAGAAAAGAAACATAAAAGATAAAGTGTTTATGCATTGTACATGCTGATAATTTCATTAGGGTAATGACACTGCTGGGTTCCAATTGGCAATATTACATGCAAAATATCTAAGCGCTGCCTTTTGTAATTTCATACAAAACTATTTTAATGCGATTACATATGTAAGTGTATGTAAGTGATCCATGTGACATGACCAATTTTGACATTAGGCCATAAATTATATAACGTTTGTAGAGGTCCACTTATTATGCTACATGCTAAATATCTATAATTCGGAAATTAGAAGGAACATAATTTCTATAAACTTTATAGAGGTCAACTTGACAATGCTACACGACAAATATCTTTGGACATATTGTTTTTGAAATATACATTAAATTCATTTTCCTTTGCAAGTGAATAACTTGTGACATCTAGGGCGGACCAGTGTTGACCCTTGGGAACACGATTTATGTTTTTGAGGTGTACAACAAGATGATACTACAACTATCTAAAAACTCTAATTTGTCTTTCGTTAATATTAGCATAAATTTTGTAGAGGGTCGCCCAAAGTTCATTTCTGGGAAAATACGGTCAAAATCAACCGTCTTGCGAAGAAGATGTTGTTCGATAACGATAAATGGTGGGAGACACAAGATGATCGTCGGCCATCATGCAACCATAAAAGTTCACTTCTTAGAATTTTATACTTAGATGAGGTAAATGAAATAACTATTGTCAAACATCTTTATAAATTCACTTATTCTTGATAATTACGACGACAAATAATTATACTAATAAAGGGAAAACAACCACTTCAAAATACCACAAATAATAGTTTATTTAGATTTTCTTGTAGTCGTCAAATCTTTCAGAAGAACGAGACAGTTAGCCAACTAATACACCGTTAAACTATACGACTCGGATGGATTCTGTCCCATGCACTGAGTATAATGCCTTTTTTTTAAAATTACGTCCGTTTGATTAACGTTATTCACTTTAAACTGAAGTCACTACCCATGGCAGTTTATAGAGAAAACATCATAAATCCCTGATAAATTTCTCACCCAATGGATCAAATAGATGATTACATCCCCTCAAAATGCCCAACTGCTTTGATGTAGCCTTCATCCCACCTCTTTTAAACTACTATCCCACATAAAACATCAACATACTTGTCAAGAAAGTCAAATTTGCAGTTTCCATGCGATAACTGTGACATAACGATAATGTTTCACTTGACAGAGATAACCACCCCTATTATCACATGTAGCGAGTAGAAAAGCTCCATGTAAGTAGAATCATAAACTGGATTACAAAGATATGTTCGTTTTGTCTCTTTTAATAGACCTATTTTGTGTGACAAATTGTGCAGTAATCGATTGCAGGGTAAAAAACATACCAAGCGCACACTTGCTCTATTCGCAACCAGCTGATATACGTGCAGCCTGTTAACTGGTGTTTTTATAATTTAAGTCAATATTAACAAAAAAAAACAAAAACAAAAAAACAAAAAAAAAAACAACGTTGCCACAGTTGGGGATATAACAGCAGCATAAACATTACAAATACTATTTTTTGCTGTACAAGACATGTATTAATTATCTAGCACCATATAAATGTACAACCTTGTGGTGAAATTTTATCCGTGCAAATGTCAAAACACTTCTTATTCCAGAAAAACCTCAAAGCTAGAGTCGGGTTTAATAATTGTTAGATACCATTATTAATTATAAAAACTTGCTTATATTTACAGTGTACACC